GACTAGAAACACTTCCTTTAAACCTGCTGATGCTGTAGTCATAGTCCTCATTGTCCTCACCAGGAGAAGCTGCCACAGCACTCCTTACGGCTCGAACAGCCGTGCCTCGAACAGCCGTCCCATGCGACGGCGGCCGGGCGAAGCGACGCCTCGAAAGCCCATGCGACACAGAGCGGAGACAGACCAAAGAGAACAAGTACATACTGAAGGGAAAGAGGACATACTTGTTCTACCAATTTCTACCATCATGAATCATGGTGGATATATCCTCTATCAAATCAGGTCAAGATCCACCCCCATATATATCCACAGAGATGACATACCTATACAGACTGAAATGGAAAGAGAGAATCGCTGAAATGGAAGCAGCTGTGGAACCAGAAACCCCTCAGCCTGTTTTTGCCGGCCTCGGACTCGACGAAGCAGCAGCTGCAATCGGACTCGCTGGTCGCGCTTCTACTCGCTCGGTCCGTACCGAGCGAGTTCGTCCGAGCTCTTGAGGAACTGGGTTTAGAAGGGGCGGGGTTTTGAAGGTCTACAGTGCTAGTACGTAGTCACGCAACTGCATGTATCGAGGTTTGTATCCAGCAAGACGTGTGCAGTCCACTAAAACGGGGCCGAGATACAAGAGAGCTTCACTCAGAGGGGTCAACCGAGGAAACTGCGGTTCTGTGGCCATGGATGTTTTTTATGTCTAATTTGTGATGTGTTGTTCTTGGTGTGAGTAGTTGAGGTGTGAAACAAAGGTCAGTGTGGCTTTTGGACAACTGCTTGTTTACACGTGGTAGCTTCCAAGAGAAACCACAAAGAATCCTCAGGTTTGAGAGAGATTGTGGGGGTTTGGTGTCTTTTTTTGATTGGGACTGTGTTGAGCGATAGGGAACCTTGAAGAGTGATACCATGGCAGCAAAATGGCTAGCATGTTTCGACCACTGCAAGACAGTTAGACAGACCCTTTTGAACGACCCCCAGGAAGAAGGAACATATAGACTCATAGACTCATAGACCAAAAGATACCAAAACCAATTTGACCCAGAGGATCTCCCTATTCAAACACACTGCCATTGGTGGACTTGCCTTCCAAAACGGAGCCATTGGTCGGTGTCCATGAAGTGGTGACCAAACCGGATCAAAGACGAGGCGTGTCCAAGAAAACGATGGTGGAGCAGTCCCAAGATATAGAACAATATATATATATATATCTACTACTCTATACCTTGTGCTTTCAACCAGGAAAGGAGTCATCCCCGCTGTTTTTGACTGTGTCAATCTTTAGAGCGTTCAGTGAAGCTATAGCTCGAACCAACCGATCGGGTCGTCCACACAGATCGATCGGAGAGTACGGGATCGTACGTCATGGACCCATGATGCCAGGAGCTCCGTTCGTAGCTTCTGAGTTCCGTTCGGAGCGATGCCCTTGGCTCCGTTCGTAGCGTCCGATCGCCGTTCGTTCTAAGGCCAGCTTTCTTGCTCCGTTCGTAGTAAGGCCAGGAGCCCCTAGTTAGCGTCCTTGCTCCTAGTAGCCATGCCCTTTGCTCCTAGTAGCGTCCCTGCCACACAACGCTGAGGTGCTCTTTTCGACATGTGACAGTTTGCCATTGCCTGGCAGCAGTGTCCGGGATGTCAGCTGGAACTCTCTTCCAGTCCGTGGTACGGCCGGGTACGGTTCCGTACTATGACGTACGGACGTGCGGTGGCTGCCAACCCCAAATGCACTCGACGCCATCGCCTCCAAGCTAATAGCGATGGCCTCCAACCCTCCAAGCGCATTTGGTCAACTCTATAACCGCATCAAGCTCGCAAACATGAACTCCAAAAGGACACCCGGTCGCCCCTGAGTCCGGCCAGGTGGTCGACAGGTCCTGACACAGCTTGAGAAACGGCCGGCTGACACTCTGCAGGGGTTCGATGCGTTCCTAAGCAGAAGGGGTCCAACGCTTCAACGCTGGGACTTTGAGAACTCTCTTGTTCATGCTCCCATGAACTAAGGCTAAGGATGGCTAAGGTGACACACGCAAACCTGCACGGCACTACGTATTGTAGTAACGTATATGCCCTCTAGGGCTCCAACCACCTCCTGAGAAGATGGTTAGGGGGGTGGCTTTGGGGGGTCTAACCACCTTCTGAGGATATGGTTGGAGCCCTAGGGATGTTTTGCACATGGCCAACACGGGCAATGGATCAGTGCTCAGTCCTTGGACCCCCTCCACCCGTTGGTGTCCGAGGCCAGAGGCAGAGCAGCTGCGGGAGGCCGGTGTTTCGCGATGGATACGGTGGCGCTGCTTATGTCCAAGACTTCTCAGGTACTTTTGGGTCTCAGAGATGAAGAAGGTTTCCTGCTTCTTCAGTTTGTGTTTTTTGGAATCCCTCTTTGTGACACAGGGCTCTTTGTCAACTTGTGACCGAACCAACCAGGATATCTAGATCGGTCACTTTGCAGAACCAGGTGTCATAGTTATTGTTTGGATCCATGGCATGGGGTTACCTCTTTGGGTAAAGAGAAGCTCCCAAACAAGCCTGGTCTGGAAAAGGAACAACAAGTAAACACGTCCATGCATCATGGCATCAGGGCTCCCGAAGTCAAAGCAAGTAATAGGTATTGAAGGGCAGGTCATTGGTCAATCCCGATGCTCACATTGAATAACGGGTTGACAACTGGTTGGCTTCCAAGTTCCCAAGTCTTATAGAAGAGACTACTAGATGTAACGATGTAACTGTTTCGTCTAGCCCGTCGTGTTCCTCTACCGCCAGGATGGGGCCCGATGTCCATCCAATGAACAAAGACAATCGGTGATAATCGGTGCTTGTGCGGCTAGCGGCTAGACCGTACAGCTGCTTGAAATAAAACACATCCTCTCAGCTCTTCGATGCGAACCAAACATCTCCTTGGGCACCTCAAGGGCCCATGGCTTTGAGGGCGAACGAAACCGCGGCTACTCCACACGACTCTCCACGAACGAGTGGGGAAGGATGCACAGTGGATCGTGAGATCGCGTTTTTGAGCAGCACGATCCATGGGACTATAGAAGATATAGTGACTACGTTGGGGTTACTACATTGGGGTCAGTGAATGTACTCTCCCTGGAACTAACATGGAAGTGGATGGCACCACCTCATGAGTAGTGGATTTCATGGTCTTCCGAACTCGGGGCCATGGCATCCACTTCCAAGTCCAGGGAGTGTAACTCTTCCATACATGGATTTTCAGGCAAGAGACGTCCTCCAACGTCGTGGCGCCCGATCTCTTGGGCCAACGCCGTCGCCCCCGAGGCGCTCCAGCGCGTGCTGAACAAGAATCCCGTGCTTGCAGGGCGGCTGAGGCAGGTTCACCATGGTGGGTAGAAATGAACCGAACGAGACTTCGAACATATCTTTCCGAGTGGGTGTGCTGGCGGAGGTTAAGAAGGTCCCCTTTGCATAGCAAGGGAATAGCATCGCGAGAGCCTTTGAACTTTGGGGTGGCTCGATGATGGTGACATCCTTCGCCAGGAGTCATCGAGTCCAGGCTTTTCAATTCCCAAAGTCGAAAACACCATCCAGAACACCAATTCCGCCATTTGATTTGGATGATTTTGGATGTAATTTCATGTTTGCTCCAGTTCCAGCCCCCGATTTCAGCCTCCTTCCGGTTCGTGCTCGCTCGCCTTCCCGGACCTGTCGTTTTTCGCTTCGGAGCCAGGCCGACGTGGCCCACCGGAGGTCCTCGACCAGAAGGCTGGACCGGATGCGGAGAGCAGCGGTGAAAGGACACCCCCGTTTGGCCGGTCGGCACCAAAGGGGCCGAAGGACTGGACACGACACGACCTGGGACTGGAGGCAGACGTCATAAGGACGGTAAGACCGACCCCATTTGGCCCCTGAAATCCACCACCCGAAGGTCATATTTATATGTCAGTCACATGAAGATGGACTGGTGCGAGGTTCACGCACGGACTCTTTTCTTCCAGCCTGGAGGGCCTGGAGACTTTGTCCTGTAGACGTGGTCCACGTGATTGTTTCTCAAAGTAAAGACTGGAACAGATGTCACAGACCAGGATGATGCATTTGTGCTTCGTTTGTCTTGTAGGTAAAGAAGCAACTATAACATCACCCAGCTTCTTCAAAGTGATCTTTTTTTAAGTCACCAAGTGACCTGTTACTGTACAGGCCCAAGTGATCTCAAAGCAGGATGTCAAAAGGTCACTTGGAAGAACCAGGACATGGAACATCCTGGTGCTTCCCATGTTCATCCTTGCTAGCAAGATGCTAGGGGCTCAGCTCGGCAAGCTGCACATGCCAGGATTGGAGATTGGCTTTGAGGGCCCGGTCGGACTCCACTTCCAGGCCGGGCATCCGAACACCAGTCGCCTTCATTCAATTTGCTATGGTTCTCGTTTCATCATGTTCTGTATCATGTCACGAACATGACAATATGTGGTGTAAACATTATGTATATAAAGCACTTATATACCATTTGTTCCCGTATGTCTTCAGTCTTCTTTGGACTTACCTTTCAGTTCACATCAGTCAGATGATGAAGCTGGAATCAAGCCCCATGGCCTATATGGGTGAGTCTCCAAAAGTGCTGATGATTGTGTGCTCCAAATGATACTACACAGTATATAGCTGAATAGCTGCATAGGGTCCCTCTTGGAACCTCTTGAAACCTCTTAAACTCCCTTGGATCCTCTTAAGCCTTCTTGGACATTGTTAGAACCTCTTGAACCCCCTTGCAACCTCTAACCTCCTTGGAACCTCTTGAACCCCTTGGAACCTCTAGAACCCCTTGGAACCTCAAGGAACCTCTTGGCACCTTCATTTCTTGCCGCATCTTCCTCGCCCACCCCCCACACCCCGCGCCAACCGCCGTGCAACTGCCGTGCCACGGCTATGACCCGACCCGCGCCCTGACTGGGCAGGTCCGCCCCCTGAGCGCTGACATGGAGCATCAGGTTGAACGACTCGATGCAGAGGGGGACGAGTGCCACCGACTGGTGGTGGAGGTGGCCCACGTGAAGGCAAACGGACCAAACGGGTTGAGAGAGAGGGCCCCAAATGTCGAGGCAGTTGAGGGTCCTACTGAGTCCTGGTGCCCATCGATGTTTGCTGAGGATTTGCTTCTTGGAACCTGGGAACGTGTCGGATCCTGTCGGATCGTTGGGTCGAGTGGATGTGTCAAACTGGGCTGCCTCCCTTAGATCAATACCATTTCCAAGCAGAGCCAAGTCTGGGTGAATCGCATCATTTGGGCCAAAGGGTAGCCCCAGCAGGATACATATCTTCGATGATATTCTAGTTGCGGACGTCGATGATGTTGCTGTATGTCCCATAAACACCTAAAACCGGCAAGAATGTTGTTTCGGAGGACCCTGGTTAACTCTTCCAAAAACTGGAAGCCTGTGTTCTTTATTCACCTTTGGTGGGTTCCGCCACTTGGAATCAGCGCTCCAGCCGGCCTGGGCTCTAGGTATGCCAGGCAGTTCCTGCAGATTCACACCGAGCAGGGTTGCCTATCTTTCGGGATGCCAGAAGGGGAGAGGCAGAGACTTTTTGGCCTTCTTTCTCATCCCAGATGTTTTGGGGATACCGTATACATCGGTATGCCTATATATATATATATGCCTATACTGTTTTAGGATTGATTTAGGCCTTCGTGGTTCAGCTATACCTTAAGGTTTACCCATCAATGCAGCCATTGATAAAGCCTCATCACTGCTGGTAGGTCAAGTTTGCTGTGAAGCATCATCCAAGGCAACATTGAAGAAGATGCTTTCAGCCATAGCTATACTCTAGCCTCCAAAGATCTTCCAACTAATTGTTGACCTGGTTTCCTAGTCTAACACTGTCCAACATGATTGAAACACTATGAAACCAATTGGGTCTGTCCAACTTTGAAGTAATTGATCTGCAGAGGCACCGCCCTCATCTGCCCTTGGACCGACCTTCATCGTTGGATCAACGAACCACGACGTCTTCACCCCGCAGCGCCGTTCCGCGACGGGGCGACCCAAAGGTGGGAGGACCATGGATCGCCGGGGGGGGTGGGAGGACCTGAAGTCATCCGTGTGCTGCTGAGTCATGGAAATTCCATGGACAACGTTGCAAGTTGGAGGTAGGGGAACCAGGCCAGCAGTTGCCTCTGAGGTTTGCAGACAGCCTGGGGGTGGCGCGAGTTGGGTACGGCTTGAACTTACTAGGCTGGGAGTAGACACAACTGGGAAGTGTGGAGTGGTTCAGGCTAAAAGGGGGATTTGTGAGCTATTTGTGAACCATTGGATTTGGGTGTATTAATTCGGGTTGGCATTGATTCGGACTTTGAACGGTTTCCCATGTCTTGTTTGTCTAAGCGTTGCAAGGGCAAAGTTTTGAACACTTGCACCATGCAAAGATCACAGGATGTAAGAACATACGCATGTATGTCACTATAACATAACAGTGTTTTCAGGAGTATAGGCTTTCCGAAGTACAGGAGAAGATACTGTCGTGGACGGAGTGCACAGGACCCGTCGACCCGTCGGTGATCTCGCTGGACACCTTGGTGTTTCAAGGGTGGTGTCCAATCAAGTAGCCAGACACGACTAATGGGACTGGTATATGTATAGGTAGGTATATTGGGTATTTTTATCTTACAGTGTATGTAAATAAATATATATATATATATATTAGGGTGTGCTAGGGCCTCTTGACCTGTTGAGGCCTGGAACTATCTATAACATAGCTCAGAACTATTGTGCAATGTTTTGGGTCTATTCCTGAACTATTTGGTCTATTCCCAGATGCTCTGGGACTATTTATTGATAAAGAAACCTGAAATCTTGGAATATTGTAGTCATGAGTCAGAGTCACAAGTCATAAGTTCATGTATCATATATCATCATTGTATTGTTGTATTGATGAATCATCAACTTCATAATTTAGAGTTGTCTTAGCTATCTTGAGTCTTAGTCTCTCTTCAGTTAAAGTTAAGTTAAAAATAAACATAGTGTTCTTATGGATAGCTCAGAATGGTTCAGAACGGTTCTGAGCTATTTCTTTGGTAGATTGCTGAAGGATAGTTCACGACGGTTCTGAACGGTTCCGAACTATTGTTTAAAAAAACATTATCGATAGTTCAGAACGGTTCTGGACGGTTCCGAGCTAAAAGGACATCATACTTTAGCAATAGTTCAGGACGGTTCAGGACGGTTCTGAACTATTTATAGGGCTGGGACTATTTGGGACTAATTGAGACTAATTGGTGGTTTTGCTATGGATAGCTCAGAACGGTTCTGGACGGTTCTGAACTGTTTCTTAAATGCAACGCCCTAATAGTTCAGAACGGTTCTGAACGGTTCTGAACTATTTCTAAAGGTACCCGCATCACTTGTATCATCTGGTCCTTTGGTTTAGTTATGTTAAAGTTAAAGAGTTGGTAGTTGGTTGCCAATACCTTAGTTAGTTCTAAGTTGGATTTGATAGCCCTTGTTTCCTGGTCAAGTCAGTTCTGAGTTATGCAACCTGACTGGACCTGGCATCCACTTCTGTCTGCATGGGGGGGGTGTTAAAGGCTGTCCAAGGCAATTCAATATGTCCGTTTCTACCAGAGAGGCGTACTGGATATCTAGACTCTCCAGTTCTCTCGAGTTGAAAAGGGCACCCTGGGACTTGTCCAAGTGGGACTGGGAGTAGACAGGATGCTTTACCATCCTGGCCAGGGGGGCAAGCTGTACAAGCCCTGAAAATCTTAGGGTTGCCTGGTCATGGACAAATATTTAGGAATAGTCGCGGATATGTAGGAATAGTCCCGGATATGTAGGAATAGTCCCGCAAAGGAAAATTAGATGAGGGCTAATTCTATCATACTCCCGGGGATTTAGGAATAGCCCCGTAAAGGAAAATTAGATGAGCGCTAATTCTACTAATTCTGTCATACTCCTGGAGATTTAGGAATAGCCCCGTAAAGGACAATTAGATGAGCGCTAATTCTGTCATACTCCCAAGGATTTAGGAATAGCCCCGTAAAGGAAAATTAGATGATACTCCTGGAGATTTAGGAATAGTCCATAGTAGTAGCCCCGTAAAGGACAATTAGATGAGCGCAAATTCTGTCATACTCTGAGAGATTTAGGAATAGCCCCATAAAGGAAAATTAGATGAGCGCTAATTCTGTCATACTCCTGGATATTTAGGAATAGTCTATAATAGTAGTCCCGTAAAGGAAACTTTGATGAGCGCTCATTCTTGTGTCATACAGTATGACTCATACTTCCCATGACACACAAGAAGCAAAGAAGTGACACACAAATGCACATGTTAGGAGTTTTGACCATGGAGAGGACACGCATGAGTGAACATTAACAAACAAATACATCACATCCATGCTCAGACTCATTCCCAAATCATTAATTCTGGTGGCTGGCAATTACCCACAGGTTTTCAACAGTAGTAGAAACACAATAGGGCCAAGGGTGAGGCTTACAAGTAGAAAATACTCATGTCACATGTTGGCTAGTCATTTAGAAGACCTAAATAGGGCAAAAGGTGCGCGGTTGTGTAGTACGGTCCACTGCAGTACACCCTCAAAAGTTTTGAACAACTTTGGTAGTGAGGAGTAGAAGTGGAAGGAGGGCACCTCAGTTAATTGAATATCTAAATAGTTCCCAATAATAAGGCACCTATTAACTATATAATCATACTACTTAGGAAATAGTCACCAAGATGTTGGAATAGTCGGAATAGTTCTAAACTAATTGAGAATTAGTTCCAAGGATAGAGAAATAGTTCCAGAGGGTTATTAGAAATAGTCCCATACCTGAAACAGGATGGGCCAAACAAACAGGCCCACGCACACACTAATATATATACGTATATGACTGTGCTGAGGTGGTTGAAAAGGGGTCAAGGGAGGCATATTACACTCATAATATCTCATACTATATCTTAATGCATACAATTCTATATATACATATTTGCAATTATATGTTTGATCCAAATATATATATATATAGCATATATATCGACTGTTTTGGAATGGTGTGTTTTTCTCATCGTTTTGCATGTCCTCCCTTTAAAGTCATTTTTTAGGCAACACATGTGCGGTCCGTTGACACACCGGACATCCAATGACATGCACCAGTTCGGGTGGCTTATGCACCAGTTCGCCGCATCCCATGTGTGTTCGGTCCTTTGAATCCATACGAGACACTCCACACAGCGGGTGTGTCGACCTCCCGTTCGACGGTTTGGACCAGGGGCGGCCAGGGGGTTCGTCCCTCTGACACGCAAAAAGCATGAAACCTACATGGACCCTGGATGGAGAAGAACACTCCTGGATGGAGGTTTCTTGCTCGGACTGCCAGGCAAGGACCGACCTCTTTGCATGGCCAGCTACTGCCCTGGAGCTCAGGCGAGCTGGCGCAACAGGAGGGGAGGAGTCGATGCCAAGGTGGACAGATTTCGATTCCAAATCCAAATCCAACAAGTAAAAGTGCAGCTCACCTTTCCAACAGGTTTGCACCACTCAATGGGGTGACTCAGGACCACGTTTTACTGGGTCAGACTGGACCTGTAGAGGTTTTACTCGGTGGACCTGGAGAGTCTAATATCTCATGGCCAGCAACAGTTGGAACAAGGATATCACGAGTTTTAAAAAAGGCCTTTGCTCATCATCATCATCGTCATCATCATCATCATCGTCATCGTCATCGTCATCGTCATCGTATTCTTCTTCTTCTTCATTATCCACTGTTACTGGTAATGGGATATACCCAAGGATCATTGTGTTTCAAGCATCGGCTCGAGAGTCCGTCATTGACACCCTGTGTGGAGTCAGTGGAAGCGAGCGAAGCAAGGAGCGGCAGCGGACACGGTCATGCAGATTGAGATCTCTGTATACATATACCAGCGCCCGACTCTACAGGTCTTCGAAATGGTGGCTGAAATGGAGATTTAAAGTGGCAGGTGGTGAATGTATTTAAACATGCCATAAGAGTGAGGTGGCATTATTTGGCCACGTGTATACTATACAATGTGTGATATAATGTGGCGTGCACAGTCTGTAGGTACTGTAAATATGCTAGTCACGTGGAATGTCTCGGACATGGACGAGCTTGCAACAATTCTTTGGCAGAGAGTTTGCCCTGGCATCGGTGGGATCGGCCAGGGCAATGGCGGCAAGGTCTCATTCTACCCGGAGGGTGCAGAGATGATGATGACAACCCCCTCTTGTGGCAGGACATGAAGATGGTCCAAGTCAGACAGGCCGCTATGCATCATGCACACAAACATTCCACGAGCTGGAGCTGGACGAAGTACGAAATACTATAGTACGAAGAGCCACTTAGAAGTAACAGTTCCAAGACGCTGCTGTTTTGGTTCTCACCTGGAAACTGAGAACTGAGCGGAGATCTACGATCACAGCTTTCATCATAAGCTGGAGGCGATGGCTGAACCCTTGAGATGTCCGTAGCCTGCGGCCTGGCTGCTGGTTCACCAAGCGTGCCTCGCCTTCTGTGTGGAGAAGACCTTTCAAGAACCGCCCGCCCCTAGTGCTCCAACTACCTCCGTTTCGAACGTGATTGAGGTGACGTGACGTGGGTCAGTCCCCACCTTCGGATGTGGTTGGAGCCCAAGAAGCCGGTCCAACACCGCTCCTACAACCAGCAGTCACAAGACGGGGTGCCGAACTTGGAGGGCGCCCCTGTCACATCCACTGGATGGGGCGAGCCACATCACCCCAACCTTTGTGACTCCTGCGATCGCTTGTTTCCACCGATCCTCTTTTCGCCTTTCCTCAGCGATCCTTCTCCGCGCTCCCAAACGGATCGCGCCGCGCCTGGAGTTCGTTCAGCCGGAGGTTGGTTCGTGACGTTGGGAGTATTCGGAGGATCCGTGCGGCCAAAACGTCGGTGAAAGCCATGTAGGGTGAAATCCGTTTCGGGCATTTGGAGGGGGGATCCATATAAGGACACTGGGATGGCTGAATGTCATCAGTTATTGGTCCAGTGTTTAGGGTGAAGAACTTGAAGCCGGTGAAGCTAGAGAGTGTGTGGAATCCATTTGCCAGTCTCAATCTCATACTCCGGAGAAAATCCTGAAAAAGTCATTGGTCGAGTTCACGAATTCGTGAAGAGCATTGACACTTGCAGAGTGAACAGCAAAATGGACTTCATTGTGGGTCATATTCCTTGTCATGATCAGATCGAGCATTGAATCCTTATCATGAGCAGGTGGACTTTCCTTGGCTTTACGCAGTTCATGCACCAACCGGAGCCTTCAGGTGAGTGTGGTGGCTTTAAGTGTCTCCCGCATTCTGGGCGACTCCGCCGTGCAAGCCTTGTCCGGGACTTTGGAGCGACCACCCATACGCTCCATAGGACTGCCGCCCCAGACAGACCCCCCTGGCAGCACCCCTGGCCGTACTGTAGGTATCAATATACCATACATTACATGGAGTGTATGGGCCATGACTGGTTGATCACCGTGAAGTTGCACCCTGCTGTCTAACAGCAAAGGACCTTCAAGCGACACCCGTGGAAGTCGAGACTACCCAGTTTGTTTGTTTGTTCCCCAGGTGGTTGACTTTTGGGGCCTCCTCCCATCCTCCCAGGTCCTCGGATGTAGAAAAACCAACTGGGACGCTGGATGTAGGTGAACTGGGTTGAGAATACTTCAGAACACTTCTCACTTTCTCACAAGCCTTGTGCCCGAACACACATGTTTCAGAAACCACGCCATACTGAAACATGTTGAAGCGTCAGAGCACGTAGCCGTTGAAACCCATCGTTGTTGCTTTTTGATCTGTGTTTTCCCTATAGCATTCCTACCGGCCTATTTGGTGTTGCTGTTGCCTCGAGGTTTCGCGCCTGGGATGAGGCGGACCTGGGGGACGTGAGGTAACAAAGGGCTGAGTGAAACGCAGACGTTTTGGGGTCCATCACAGAACAATAACAACGTCCAAACCGTGTTTTTTCTTTCGAACGAACGAGTATTCCTTTGTTACAATGACAATCCCATCATATAAGCAAAGGAAAAATCCTGTTTCCGTCCTGTTTCCGCAAGCACCATTGGATCCATTTTGCAGTTGTTTCTAGCATCTTATAGATGATTCACGAGCTTCCGATTTCCTCCACAACACCCACAATAAGATATATCATGGATTGGAGTTATTCATGATTCACAGGAAGGAAAGACCACCACTGTCAACAGCAAACAACACATTTGAATCATTGGGATCTCTTTGACGGTGTCGTGTTTTTCCTCACACTTTCTCGCTCCTTCCAAAAACGCGTGAGAAGTCTCATTCTGGCTGGCCCCGCGCTTCGTGAAACGGCTCCAACCTTCGGAGGAATTCCAGGAGCCTGACCTCAGTGCCAAGAGTGTCTCGAGCCGCGAGGTGCGGCTTTTTCCCTGGTCCTTTTCGTGGCAGTTGCGGTCGCGGCAGTCGCCCGCGTAAAGAAGAACGGTTCGGCCATGTTTGTGTGACTTTTGTCGGCGTTTTTCGGTCCTGTGGGAAGGAGAGGATTGACCCCTTAGGGGGGGAACAAGTATTTGTTCTTAAGTCTTGGAGGCTGGAGTGAATCATGGGGAGGCTGGAGCACCCTCCAGGATCGATGCTTCCTGGTGAATTCGACGGAAACAGCCTGTGGTCGGAGGGTTCTGGATGTGTTGATTGCATGTGATCTTGTTGATCGGGAGTTGAAAGGTAATTGCAACTTGACCTAAAAACATTGGTTTTCGTGGTATTTCGACAGCTCAACCGGGCTGTCACTTGCCTTTCAGGGACCCGTGTCAAGTATAAGGAGCCTCTTGCCGGGACAGTCCGAAGTGGTTAATAGGGCTGCCTGGTAGAGAGTTCCCGAAGGCTTGTAGTGTATGTTTAACATCCTGCAGGGTCCTCCAGGACATTTGTACCAAGGAACACCCTTTGAAATAGGCGAAATAGGTGCGACCCTGCCATATTTTGGTGAAGCAAGTCAGTCCTGATGTTCTTTTGGGGCAAAACACGCGTGGGTCAAGATCAGACATGAGGCCGGTACAACGGGACAGAAGCAGTGTTGATATCAATGGCACCATGGAAAACCCACCAGCGGCGAACGCCGAAGCTGGGCTTACTCTTCGGGTGATGTGGGGTCAAGGCGAAGAGGAGGTCAAGACGAAAATTCAGGAGGTGAATTCGAGGTGTGTGGGGCACCAGCTGGTGGGGTAGATACAGAAACCACTCCAACCTTTAGAAAGCAAAAAAAAAAAACGTTGGTCTATAGGTCGTGAAGACGGCCTTGCCTTTGACGCGACTCACCAGAGCCAGGTGACCCGCCTCTTGTATCGGCCCATTCTGGTGCTTCAGGCCATTCAGGAGGCACGATCAACGACGAGACCAAGAGACATCCATACAAAACTGGAGGCACCTGCCCAACCTAACTTTTTGTGATTTTTTGGGTGCCATTGTTGTTTTTCCATGTTTTTCCCACTGTATAACACAGTATAACACACAACGACGTGTTCACGCGAGCCTTGAAACGGGGAGGTCAGGAGATCAGGAGATTGTGTTGTTCTGTTTGTCGGAACGACTCCGCAGCAAAACAAACAAAACGAACACCACGGCGGTCCCGTTTCGGTCGAAGCAGTGTTGGACACCGGACGGGAAGACTTCGTACCTTAAGTATGTTTAACCTGAGATGGTAGGACGGGAGTTTGGTGGGGAACATGGATGGCATGTGAAACAGAAGTGGAGTGAACTGCAAGGAGTGAACCAAACGACGAAGACCCTTGGTTCACTCCTGGACATGCGCAAAAACGCACACGCGCGCTTTTTGTGCGTGGCGCGTGTCGGAACGGGCTCATGGAACGGGCCCTCGGGCCGGTATGAGGGCCGGTCCGCTGTGTGAGGGGTTGGAATACTCACCCTCATCCGCTGCGAGATCCGACGCTGGGAGAGATGGCGAAGGAACGTCGGACAGTGTGCTCGCCGGTTGGCTAATCGGGATCGCGGAGTCGAACCAGCGTTCTGGTCAATTGGTATACGTCGTCTCAAGACCACCTTGGACTGAATCCCCGGAGGCACCACCCCAACCACCGCCACAGGCTAGCGGCTAGTTGGAGCCCAACTTTGGGGTCCTCCACAACTCGAGCAGCTCCAGGTTTCTAGAGGTGGTCTCACCACAGGTGTTGTAAGACCCTGGTCCTGAACACCTCATGTTGAGTAGTGAGTCGTGATTTTTGATGCGGTTTGTTTTCTTCAACTTCAGAGACCAGTGCTCCGGCCATCGCGGCCCATCGCGGCCATGACTGTTTCTTCTTCCGCCAGGCGTGGGATGGTGTTCGCCAGTGGCTCTACCAGACCCTTGACGCAGTGCTCCGTGTGTCATAGAAACGGAAGACAGCGACGGAGAAACTCAGGCCATACAGTGGAACCACGCCACAACACCATGAGGTTGAGTTGAGGCTCAACACCTGCCACCAACAATTGGGGGGGTTTACTGGGGGTATCGCTTTCAGATGCTTTCAAACTCATCATCCAGATTCTTCAGCTTGTGACCCTTTTTTTGGAGTCCCTGTTTGTGACCTGTTACAGGCCTGTTTGTGACCGAACCAAGCAGGAGATCTCAAGGTCACTTTGAAGAAGGTGATGTGGCCGGTTGATGAACATAGATGACATAGTTGGATTTGAAACAATTGCTTAGCAACAGTACAGTGTAAAGATGTTGGTTGTGCAGTGATGGCTTTTGGATTGCTTCAGCTGATTTGTTCTCTTCATGCTGGACATTTGTGTAGGTTGCATCCAATAAGGACATCTTTGTCCAAGAGTCCAAGTGATAGAAAATAGAGATGGAAATACATGGGATTGACTGGCTGCAGAATCGTTCAATTCGTGATGCAGTTTGTGCGTTTCCTTGAATCAGCTGGTTTCTGCCTTTGGTCAATTGAACATGCACCAACACATTTCATATGAGTCTGTATGAGGTATAATGTGAGTGAATTCGATTGAGTCAACTGTGAAATGCCTATACTGTATAATTCTTGGATTGAATGACAGGCAGCAGCCCAAGCCGTGTGAGACCTACGCCATCAGAGATAAGAGCATCATCATACAGTCCAACTCAACAGGGCAATCTGATTTTCTGCAGTTTCAGCAGTGGCTTTGTCCATGCGCAAGCTGAGCATTCCATCACCCCCTTTTCTTCTCTATATACCTTGCTGGCTCTACCTACGCTGGCCCTGCTGATTTGGGCATGCCATCTACGTCGGGTGGTGCACGTACGTTTTTGGGAAGTTCAACGTGGAGTGTCGGCTGTTGAGGCCCTGCTGCAGCTCTTGGGCCTCTCTTGAGCCCTTCAGAAGGGCCACGAATGAAAGGGTTCTTTGAGTCATTGAGGCGAGCTCTTTGCTCGGTCGACGGACTCAAAGCTGCGCATCCCGAAGCTTCGCAAAGCCAGACCTTGATAAGCCAAGTCGTTGAGGTCAACGGATTTGGATGGATTTGGTAGAAAAGACAGCAGCCAATGAGGGAATCAGGATGGGGCTACTACATGCAACGTTCTACATGATGAGCAAGTGCTCAAAAGTGCTCAGATCTAGAAGACACTGAGAGCGGATCTTGGTTCCGATGCAGACAGGACGATGGTGCTTTGAAGGAGGCCATGGAAAATCCTTCAAAGATGTTCGATGAAATTTGACTAGCCAGCAGATGACCAGCAGAGCCAGTTGGGACTATGCGTATAATGCCTCAGACATTAAAGTGACGAATGCCACGTTTACTGTACTCAGTATACTCCTCTTTCCAAGTGTGAGAATCCGGCAACTGACGATCCTGCTGTCACATCAAAGTTAATGACTCCATTGATCATTGAGCCAGGAGCTTGGAACCAAAACAAGTACCAATACCCCCAAGCTGCACAATCTGCCACCAGTTCAAGGCTTTGGTATTTTGGTTCGGGACAACTTGGACCACATACATTCTCTTTCTGGATAGGATGTGTTGCCGGCCGGGGAACCAACGCAGTTGCTATTGGAAGACCACACAGATTCCGATTTGGGAAGTGTGACAGGGTGGGACAGGCTCGAATATATTTTTTATTGTATAGTGTTGCATGCATTTGACTTGTATCATGCCGGTGCAAATTGTTGTTTGTCAGAGTTGATGGCAAGAATAACATTTTCAAATGTATTTGATGAATTGTTTGGATATGTTTGGATCCTGTCCCTCCCTCCTAGTCCTTCGAGCTCAGCCGATGGCCGTTCAGGACAACGATCTCCCAGTTCGCCGGTTGCTGCACCACACGAGGACACTTAAACCTGCAGGATTGTTGCTATCTTAAACTATCCACAACCCAAAGGTAATTAGCTACTTTGCATTACCTTCCTGAGGTATTAGGGTGCTTTGGGAGACTTAGCAAGCTCATCGCTTGGCGCTTGGCGCCAAGCGATGCATGCAAGTGTTTGGTGAGTCCAAATGGACCGTTTAAGAAGTTAGTGTTGTGCCGTGGCTTGTTTTGCCAGACACCCAGACATCCCAGCATTGGTAGGGAGTGGGTGAATGGGTGCAGCATTTTGGTGGAAGGTTTGAGGGTCCAAACGTGCGAAAACGAAGCCAGTTTGGAGGATGGAGGATGGGGATGGTGATGGCTTCATCATCCGCTCCAGAAACATCAGATCGTACATTTTTTTGACTCAGGATTTTTGGCAACATGACCAAGACTGTTGACGACTCGTTTGACCTGAGGAACACATCGAACAGAGCAAGAGGTTACACCCTGAGTTGGAGCCGGGGTGCCAAACTTGTCTTCCCTTCAAGCCAGTTCCACTTCCATGGCCGAGTGAGTCGGAGCCCAACTTGTCCCCTTGTCCCTTTGTCTCCTTCTAGCCGATTATAGCCAAGGTGAGACAGAGAGAGAGCTCCACATGATCCTCCTCCTCCAAGCCTAGCATGATTAGCAAAGCTATGCAAGACCCTATAAAGCCAGCAATACAATGAGATATCGGCTCATCTACTGTAGTAGACGTTTTTGGTTGTTGTTCATTCATTCCTCTACGTTTTCATTATTTTGGTTAAGGTCTTTGACTTTGTTAATCAACGTCATAGTGGCCGGGAGAAAATTGTGCTAGCTTTGTTGGCCGTTTGCCCTTTGCTGCACCACCGACCAGTTTTACCAATGTTCCTTGATCTACCCAACAGGAAATTCCTCGAGCGGATGCTTGATGGCCGGAATCTCAGTGCTCAATGCTGAAGCTGTCAGTTGCACGATGTTTGTTTCACAAAAAACTCCTTATTGTATTAAATACTAGATAGATGGCACACCCATGGCACACCCCAACAAAGTTGTTCCATGCCTTTGTCGGGAATCTGCACGTCACATCCATGTCCCAGGGGCTTCAGGTCGGCCCAACATGGACGCCTTTGTCGGCCATGTGCAACTGTGGGTCCTGTAGGACCGCGAACTGTTCATCCTGGGAGCAACCGTTCATCCTGTACTGAACTTGATGTTTGAACAAGGAGTGCATGGCTGCATGGAACGCTGTTGGAAATCTGATGACGTTGAAATCTGATGATGTTTCACGGACTGTCCAACTGCTGAAATCGATGGACGAATCCGATGCGTCCGCAGATGCGTTGGATGGGGCCTTTGGAACTGCCAATTCCGCATTCTCTTGTTGGTTGCGAAGCACCTACGTGTCAACCCATCCCTTACGATCACCTTCTTCAAGGTGATCGTCACTGAGGGACGGAAACGAAAAACAAAGAAGCTGGAGTGTACGAGAACATGTTCATCAACCAGTGTACTTTGATGATCTTTGATGTAGCCCACTCAAAATTGATTGCAAAGAGGCAACCAGTTGGGCACGACGGAAGCAAGGGAAGCTTCCTTCCCCGCCGATTGGTTACGAGTTCGGCTCCAACACGGATCCTGGAGTGACAGACCATGTGAGACCTCTTCTTTTGGAACCACACAAGTCATGAACCCGGGATGTCATGGTCGCTTGGTCGCTTGTTGTTTGCCTCCCCAACCGGACGGACCCGGCCGACCCGGCCGCCTCGGACCCGGCCCTCGGTTACGCGGCGCGTTCGTCACGGGTTTCGACGAGGCCGAAACCTCTCTAAAGGAGACTGGGAAGGCTCAGGTCCTGCGAAAACACGATGCCGGAGTTCCGACCCGTCCGCACGGTTTACCTGTCCTCCGTTAGTCCGTGAACGAACCGCGACGAACAGGTGTCGCACGTTTTCTGCGGATCGCCTGGACGTCACAGCAAATCTGGGTCAAGGGTGTCGATGTCTTGGGAGCTGCCGGACATGGAATATGGAGAGGGCCTCTAAGGGTGGGGGACGCTGATTCTGAAAGCCAGCAAATATTGGCAGATCAGATATGGATTTCAAGGGTGTTGTCCATGGTAGAGCAATTTGCAGCGATGTGGGCCACTCATGCTTGATGTCACAACTTTCATGCTGGATGCTAAAAAACGTCACACGTACACGTTCCTTGCGTTCCGTGTTCCTTGGTTTGTGCACATGTGGCTTGATTGCTTTCCAGGGACAGGGACCCGCTCGTCAAGGGATTGAGGCAACAGGCACAGTGCATACAACCGCCAGACTCGGCAGGCAGATGCTGATTGTGATTCTGCACCGGAAGGCCCAGTGGACGCTCTGTCAGAGGTGAACGAAGCCTTTCGATAAGGTCGGATGCTGCTCTGTTTTTAGATGTTGATTGTCTTGGAATCAAGGAATGATATTGTGGAAAGTATTGTCGTAAATTGTGGACATATATATATATATATATATGTATGTCTTCTTGTTTTTGTGCAGTGAAGCTGATGCCCCGCCAGTTGTGGAGTCATGTCCCATTGTTTGTGTTCCCCGTCTATCGGATGCTTCACCCATGTTGCTCGGGTCCACGACGCCCTGTCACGTCACCCCTCCCCTCCACGTCGTCACCGGCAGATCGTGAATTCTACGCCATTGCTGTGCGAGTACGAGAGGAGCGGCGTGGATCGGTCCGTCTTCGCGTTGGAAACAAACCGATCGAGGGGGGGATGAGGGGGTGTTTTTGTTTGTGTGTTTTTAATGCTATTTTTTCCTTCAGACTTCAGACCCCATGGTAGGTGAAAACATGTTCGATACAATTACAGTGACAGAGAGTGTGAGTGGCAGTGGTGTTATCAACAAAACCATGCCATTAAATCATGCTAATGTGATATGTACAATGTAGCTTGTGAGAAACGAAGCACACAAATAAAGAGTCAGAACAACAGAAGAACACAAGAAGATTCAGAGTGTGCGGGAGAGAGACACAGGGGAGGTGGACTTCAAGAGGTATGTATATATATATAAATAAGAGCAAGAGCACCAACACGAAACACTTCAAAAATTTGCTTCTCATCTCACCTTTACCAATACCATCCATCCAGACTTGCCCAGGAGACCCTTTCTTCCATCCGTGCTGCCGCGGCCGCTTCAGCGCCCGGAGGCGGGACGGGGGGGGCCGGGCACCATCGTTTGGCTAAGATCTTTGTGAACAGATCATCGTTTGTATCTCAGAATTGGTTTAAGATGTTTAAGGGAGAACCTGCAGGAAACCGTACCCATGGTTTGGGAGGTGTTCAAACGGTTTTGGTGGGAACATCTAGGATAGGAAAAAGGGCTCCACCCGTCTCCGGAAAGAAGGTGACTGACCCTGCACTTCACATTCAACCGGGAACTTCAGTCCAAGGTACACTCGTGGGCAACGGATCGAGTAGACCCTGCAGGCGACCCAAGAAGAAACTTCTTGTTGACCCGAGAAGGAAGCGCACAGGACTAGAAGTCGAAATCAACTTAAAACCACCCAAAGGTTCACTGGTGTTGGCAGAAGTGATTCAACTTTGTCACAGTTCAGCTGGCCATTCACAAGGAATCAAAAAGGCTTGTCTCCCACCATCTCCCACCCGAAGAATATAGAGCATCTTTTTGGCGTTGCCAAACAGCTATATATATATATATAGATCCCCCATTTCATCCCTCTATGTTCTTCGGCGCTTCCAACTGACCAGATGGGCGCCGTTGACGGCCTTGTGGCCTCGTGGCCGCGCGCGTGCGCACGTGCCGGCCTTGGCACGCCCTGCGTCCAGGTGGCGTGGGCCTCTCGTCGGTCCTGACCTCCGATGCGCTCTATGCCTGGCTGGGCAACGTCCTGCGGCTCCCACAGGCGGCCGAATTCGGGGGACGACGGGGTTCCGTGATTCTTCTTGTTAGGGTATAGTGGAGTCGCTGGGTCGATGTTTTTGGTTGGGACATCCAATGAGATGTTGGCGTTCGAATTGTTAACTGTTTTCAGGTGGCGTTTCGACATGGAGGATTCCGCAAAGCCGATGGGAGTTGACCGTCAGGCAGTTATCTCATGATCTCAGACCCTGTTTCTGCTGCGCTATGCTGTCCAGCAAGGCCTTGTTTTATAGCCCACATATTAGCATGCACTCCCACACAAGAGATATCAAGAGATGCTGGACGATTCTTCCGATTATCGGATGAGCGAACTTGCATCAGGTTTTCTTGGAGGATGCCAATTGGCGCCCCTTTTTTCACTAGAGCAAAGTACTTGCATCAGGGTATGTGCCTACCAGGTATGTTTGACTCAAGTACAGGGAGCCTTGGAAGATCTTTGAAGGAAGGTTAAAGTTAAAGTCGATCCCGGCAGCTCCATTGGTGGAATCACATCCACACGCCGCCCATGGTCGAGGCCCCCCCTTCCAGTCAACCTCAACACCTGGCCAGGGTGAAACCCTTGGCTGTCATGGACCACATCGGAGACCACATCGGACCACCGCACCCGAGACATTTCCGCTTCGTCGCTGTCCGAAGCATTCGGGACTTGGGACGTCCGAAGCCTTTTCTGCCTGCACGAAGAACGTCCGACCATTTTTCCGCCGACCATGAGGGCTGCCAGGAGCCGTGCACAGGGGAGAACGAAGCAGTCGATCGGGGCGGGTGGTTGACCGATAGACCGAGAGACTGTCGAAGGCTCGTGGAAAACGATCGCAACCAATGAGATGTTGGCCACCTGAAGCATTTGCTTGTTGATGATTGAGTACTTGATAAATCTTGATATATACTTGTTTTTTTGTGTCAACCTCACGAGGTCAACAGTCACTTTGGCTCAGTGATGCAACCTGTGTGGCTTGGAAAACGGCAGAACCTGTGAGGGAAAGGCTTTAGAACAGAACGATGGAAGATCCACTCAGCTAGAGAACAAAAGATCGAGGAACCCAGTTAGCTCACTGGACCCGCTTCCTTCACTCGCTGGACCAGGCGCCCTTCATACCTATAGGTCCCAGCGGTCCGGCTGGACTGAAGCACTCTGGTGAAGCAATCTGGTGTTATTCACGATCGTGTCAGCTTACCAGAGAGGATTTTCATACCAGGGTCATCCTGTCATACCTTTGTAAGGTATAAGCCCGCACAACCCTGTCATACCAGGGTCATACAAGGTGTCAGCTTACCTTTGTCGAGACGATGTTCATACCAGGGTCATCCTGTTTGGGTGTCCAATAGACTATAGGGACTACCCTACTTATAGGTCTCCAGACAGGGCATCCATTGGAAGTGCCAGGTATATCATATATCGGTATGTATGCTGCATGATTTCTTTCACTGACGTCATGATAGTTTGAGTCTCGGTGGACTGGCACTGCATGCATCGTCTCTTTTCGCCTTGGTGGACGTGAAATAAGCCAAAAAGTCAAAGCACTTCTGTTCCTGAGATGTTGTGGCAATGCTCGGAACACACTGGAACGGGTCACATTGTTTTTTTCTTATCTTCTTGAATGACTTGACAGTCACTTCTTCATCTTCTCTTCTTTTCCCGCACTCAAGCAAAGGGAGCACAGCACGTCTCCGCACGTCTCCAGGAGTGTGAAGTGCACTAGCCACAAGGGTCTTCCTCGTGTTGACCGGGACAGTTTCAGCTCCTGCCGCTCGGGTCAATTCGAGTCATCGGCGGGACTCCGGCGTGTCGCCCGTCTCTTGGGGGAGGGACTGGGTTTCACGAAGGAATTTGCATCATTGTTTGCATAACACTGTGACCATATCCCAGACACTCCATGTAGTATGCCACATATGCCGCCCCATTGACCCCCAAAACCACCCCAATGTAGGTAAAAATGCCAGTCCCATGGAGTGTCTGGGTATTGTGACCATATCTGGGCAGACATCAATCTCAAATCTTTTGTGCGAGTGCTCCAGCAGTGCTCCTTGCCTCCTCAACAAATCAGCATAAATCATCTAACAACATCCTCAAAGATGTGTTATTTTCCTGGATGATGACAACTCATTTGAAACCAGTTTCACTCAAGGTGGGGAGGACAGATCCAGGAATGGATTTGATGTCTCAAGCGTCGTGCAGGAGGGCCGTGGATCACTTGCGAAATCACCTTTTTGGGATTAGCCGTCGATCGTTCATGAATGAGTGTGGCATTTGTCCAGCCCGAACCCCTGTACAACGAGTGAATGGGTTTTACATCTCGACACATATATTGAACATGAAGCAGATCAACAAGGTGGAATTGGGTGATCCCGCTTCAGGCCGCAAGAGCGTCTGAAAAAAAACAGCCCGGAACGGTATGGAACATGGTGGAACAGGTGGAAAAAAAGTGACATGAGGTGACCCTCCTGCAGATTCATGGATCGATCCCCCCCAATAAAGATGGTCAAACAGTCCACACTCTCCTTTCTGGAATTGTGAGGGCAAAGACTAAGTCGTCTTGGGATCCTGACAGATTCCTTGAACGATTGACTGAAAGTTTCGACGATCCAGTTCCTCCTAGATACGAAGTTCCTACGGAGTTGATGGACGATCCTGACTTTCATTACTCGATCCAACGGATTTTGGCACGCTGGCAGTTGAGAGGTTTGACGCTTATTGACTATTCAGAAGTGCCTTACAAGCTGCACTCATCATCTGGCTTGGGATACACTGGAACAAAGGAGGTGAACTTTGATTTGGCTTTGGCTAAAGCGAAGAGCGCCTATTCTGGTTAATTGAGTCATGGATGCCACGTTGATCGGTATACACCTTACATCAGCCTTCTTCGGACACAGCTCTCTGATGATGACAATCCAAAACATCGAAATGTGTTTTGTGAAGCTTTTTCACAATTTACTGATACAGGGCAGAGCCTTGTGGCCTGTGTACAAAGCTTTACGGCAGTGCAGCAATCCTACAACTTTCAGCTTTACAATTGATGAACAGCAAGGTACTTCACAGAAGTTGATGGCTGAACATAATTGATTTCAGACTGGCCTGCTTTTGATGTTGGCAAGGTGATCGAAGACGAGGATGGTAACCCACGTAGATGTGCGGGGGTACACCCATGGGAGATCAGACTGGCATTCTTTTTACTGCAGCACTGGGACATGTGGAAGCCATCAGCCAGATGTCACCCAGATTGATCAAAGGCAAAGGAAAAGGCACACAGCCTTCACCACCAGACACTGCCGATGATCCTATCACCAACGTATCACAAGCAGACCTCATCCACCCCTACCCCACTCACACTGCACAGCCAGACAGCACACCGCCAATTTCTTCACAGCACAACACAACCAACCCACCACCTGCTCCTACCAACACAAGCATACCACCAAAAACCACACCTGACTTTCCTCAAACAACCCACACCACATCAACACTTACACTTTCAGACAACCTCCAACGTTTAGCACAAGCACCACGCCCACATCAATCTTACACCTGTATGCGAGCAGCAAACAGCTGTGTCTCACCACCCCGACCCATCAACCTTTTCCCCTCACCTTCACCCACCACCACACCCCAACCATGCGATCCAACTCAACTTTACAGTCTTCAGATTCCATTACAAGGACACGCCACACTCACCCCTGCTGGACCCATTGCAGCTATCCCACACACCGTCCAGCCAACATCTACCACACAACACTTTATGTTCATCCCCACTCCAACAAACATACGCCCCAATCACCCAGAAGCATCCACAGGACCAGACGGTCCCTGGTGGGACGCTACCGGATCCGCTCCTTAACTACTTGTCTTGACTTCCATGACGGGGAGCACTCAGATCAGGCCCACCACTGCCAGCTTCTACAATTCTACAACTGAGCGCTATACGGGCAGTCACATTCAGGACCATTCAATTGGAATTTCAACTTCCCAGATGTCTCGTTTTTTCACTGTACAGACCCACTTACTCGGACCATGCATACAGAAAAACCGCTTGCATAGAGCTGCGTATTCTTGCGGCATTCCAATGTTTTTGGCATATCCTTGACTTCGTCATGATGCAGTTGGCATGCACTCACCTGATACAATTTTCCGTTTTTCTTTTTCAACGAATGCGGATTTCAGATGTCTGATTTCAGGAGTGATCTTTTTATTGATCTATGAGTCGATTTATGTGACTTTACCATTTATTGATTTATTGATCTCTGAGTCGATCCATGTGACCTTGCAATTTACAAGCATCGGACCGCTGACAATGTCGCGGCCCTCACCCGTGTCGCGTCGACGGCCTACGGCACACTGGCGGGGACCGTCCACTCCGTCACCTCGTTTGCCGTGGCCCTGGTGGGGTACGCATCCACCAAGGTCGCCTCACTTCGCGACCTGTTCGTCCGCTCCATCGCGGTCACGGCGGCAGGTGGCCTGAGGGGCAAGACGTCCTTGATGTTCGCAAATGCGCCGGCCGGCGCGGCGGCAGTGCAGGACGCCAAGGTCGTCTACGCCGCATTCAAGAGCAACAACCCGCTCGCTGTGATGTCGTCCTTGCATATGCCAGGACTGGCTATGACCAGCTGGACAGGCAACTCGTCCACCTCGAGGTCAGCCGCGAGCGCATGCTCAGGGCCGCAACCTTCAGCGACTACGCGTACGGGCCTGGCCACCGTCTGGAGCTGGACTCCGAGATTGCACAGGCGGCCGACCTGATGGCCTTCTCGGGTGCCATCAACAGGTGCGTGTTGGGCTCCTTGGCCGGGTCAGCTTCACTGGACAAGTTCTGCTCGCCCGGTTCGGCCCAGGAAACCCGGTTTTTTCCCGGTCCTCGAGGCGGCGGTGTCCCTACGTGAGGGCCTCATTTCCACAGCAGCCAAGCTCGCCATCGACGCCGCCAAGGCTGCAGATTCTCAGAAGATGATCAAGACCGCGGTCGAGGCGGAACTGAACAACCTCCACGT